ATTGTGTATACGATAACAAAATATTTTAACAAATCAAATCATGGAAAAAACGATAAAATCGTTGCTACTACTACGATTTTAATGTTTTTCCATGATTACGACGTCATCTGATTTGCTTTGTCAAAATATGTTGTTATCGCATAACTGATAAATCGTTATCAAATCGTTCTAGCGTAAAAACTTCTCTTATTTCTTTTATTTTCTATATGAACAATTGCTTTTTAGCTTTTTTTTTTATCGTTATCGTTGAAGTATAAACAGGCCTTTAGCACTCCATGAAAAAAAAAATACAACGTCTTTAATTTAAAAAAATAAAAATAAAAACAATCAGTGAGTGATTAATTTTTGCAACTTTGTGTAATGCGCGACGAGTTTTATGCATATTCATTAACTTCCCGTTCTACGGATGGATTTCGTAGTCTATTGTAAAGTTCATACGAGGATTTGCTTAAAATCCCAAGTACTGTGTAGGCCAGTTTTTGTAAACATGAACGAAGGACGATGGCAGAAAGTGGAGTAGAAGTTATTTATCAAGTAAGTTAAGTTTGTGAACAACATATATTTTCTTCATTATTAGTGTTTTGTTAATAATGAGAATATATGATCTTAATAGAAAGTATGAAATATAACTTAACATCCACGTAGTTATGAGTCAGGCCTAGCCAGGCTGGCCTACAAAGTGGTTCTGCACGACCTCGATCGAATCGAAGCAGTGATTCGCTGCAGTTGTGGGAGGTATGGGCGAGGCTTAGTCTTCAGACCAGTGGCAGAAATATTCTGAGTGGATAGTCATTCGAAAATTATGGTATTAACAAACAATTATGCCAGTTGACATTAAGCAACAACTTTATTGGTGCTTCAACATATTTAAGTAAGATTGTCTGGGCTTGCTTGATATTAAACAAGCAAAGAAGTCTCTTTGTTCATATGATTCATGCTGTATGTTACATAATACTTCCTGTCTCGGCTTCACCTTACATTGTGATTTTAAAATATTCTATTTTTTTTAAACCACACAAATCAAGCAAATTACTGTTGGCTAGGACTTTTGACAATAGTTTCAGCATGATTTAGTGTCATATAGTGTATTTACAAGTGAAATAACAGTGTTTCCTTGATTCAAGACTTATTTTTTTATTAATAAAATATTAATGGGTTTTTTTTAGCTTTAGGCCAAATAAAAATAATTGTTTGTTTCATGTCCAGGAATATTTTTTGGTGGGTTATTTACTATTTGCTTTTTACTATCCTATACGGTAGGCCAATACTAGTGGTAAACAGGCTGGTAAATTTTAAAAATAAGTTTTTTAAAATAAAAGAAGTAAAACGAATCTTTGTAATGTATTTCTGCCATTTATATTCCCACCTCTTCTTACAGTAGGCTTAACATCATTTTTTCAGATAGTCATTATTTTTATTGTCAATGGAAAAGTTTTTTTTAGAAAAATAGCTAAAGAGTAAATTTATTCATGAGACTCCAAAATTTGATGAGTGGGGTACGTGAAACTAGCTATTAATTTTATTTGGCATTGTAGATCACAATTTATGCCTAGTTTTTGCAATTAAGAGAGGGTTTTTAATTGATAATAATTCAGAAATGGGTATATGAGCATAGGTCTGCAGTACAGTAGAAGTGAAAGTGAATGGTCTTTAAGTACATAAAACAAAAGTGTGATTCAACAGGCAGTACATCAATTCTAGACCATTTACAAGCTCATTCTTCTAAGAATCTCTGAATTTATGGAATGTTCTCCCTGGGTATTTTCCCTCAAGACCTAGTGACAATTAGTCTGTACTAGAATTGTGGTTCACAAGTATCAGTTCAAATAACATCCACTCTTGTAAACCAGTAATTATCGCTAGTGTTTGTCTTTTAGAAGTGAAACTGTAAGGTACAAGATAAAATTGAAACCATGTAGTTTTTTTTTTAATTAAACAATCAATCATAACTGCCATTGTCTGCTATGACAGGGGCCTTTGAAAAAAGGCACACCCTTAGATGAGAATGGCAAAGCAAAGAAGAGCTTTCTAAAAAGGTCATCAGGTTGGAAAGACAGATACTTTTTGCTGTACTTGAAGGAAGATGAAGAACAAAACAGTTATGCATTCTTAGCCTGTCATGAAAAGAAACCACAGAATAATACAGATGAACCAAAGGGTAAGTATATTCTGACGTTGACCAAAACGATCACAGAATTTCAATGGAAGGCAAAAAGATCCAATTAGATTTTGATGCTTTGAATTGATAAATAACTATAAGAACATGCCTTTCCAAAAATATGAAAGAACTGTACATGGATTAAAACATGCATGAAACAGATTGTTTTAAAAATGCAAAAACTAGTGTGTAAATTATCATTGATGCACAGGTTAAAGTAGAGACAGGCATACATACATACAGTAAACACCGATATCCCCAATTTCCCAATATACAAATAAATTGTCAAAAACATGTTAAATTTTAGGATACAAATGTTGTTTTGAAAGAGTTTCAAAGAAGCCATTTCTTTTACGATTGACGACTTGTAAGTGATTCCATAGGTTTGACTTAGACGGCCAGTGGCTGCTTGCTACAACATCATGACCTGCCACTCTACTAATTATATAAATAACTAATCAGTATAATTTATCAATTATTTATACTTGCACATTTTAATATTTTGTACATAAATAGTATTTTAAAATTTGTCTAGGTCTCCTTAAACTTTGGCCCCATTATCGGGTCGATAAAAAGTTTGACCCAAAAGGCAAGCAGCATATTTTTGAGGTGAAAACTCCTGAGACTACGTACCGCTTGATGGCCGAGAGCCAGGCTACTATGGACCTCTGGGTGTTCCACTTACAGATTCAGACAAAACTAAGACATGATTTTCCAGGTAAATTGGTTTATATATTTCAGATTTAATAAAGTTCAAAATATATAATCATGATGGCTTGCATTTCATGCGTCATTCACATTCTTTTGAATTTGTTTAATTCTGTCTTGTACCTCGATAAACTACTAATTTAAATTTTAAAATAGCATTTTCAATTTGTCTAGGTCTCCTTAAACTTTGACCCTATTATCGGGTCAATAAAATGTTTGACCCAAGACGCAAGCAGCATATATTTAAGGTGAAAACTCCTGAGACTACATATCGCTTGATTGCTGAGAGCCAGGCTACTATAGAACCATCATGATTGAATATATATTTAATTGACCATTACATTGTCTGGTAATCAAAGTACTGTAAATGTACACAGTATAACCTGCAGAAACTGGTTTTTGTAAAATTCTAATTGGGAGATGGTAACTTATATAATCTTATAAATTAGTTATCATATTTAACTTCAATTTTAGTTTTTCCTTATATTTAACCACATACTTTACATTATATCTTTATAGTGGTAATTATTACAACAATATTTGAGTACTTTAAAGGGGCAAATCAAAATTTGTTGATGTTTCTTGCAAAGCAGCTAGTGTGATGGTTGCACCCCACAGTATTGCATGTCTTTTCCAATCAATAAAGAAAGAGAGTATTATGAGCAATTTGACATGTGAGCCCAGGGCTCCGGTTTTGACTTTACCTCCTTAATTTATCTACCTGAACTCATTTTGTATATCTCTGACTGTCTTCAAGTCTCGGCTCAAATCCGATTTATTCTCTTTATTTTTATTCTGAACTTGATTCTTGGTCTTGATTCTTCCTTTTTTGAGTATACAGACAATTGTGTATGTGTATCAAAGTGTCTTCTGTTATTGCTAACTGGATACAGTAAACAATGATTTGCATGTTATAACATTTTCGTATGTTTTTATTTTTTTCCTCCATTTAGGGGATACATTTGAAGTGAGACCAGCTGATTCAGATGAAATGAGAAGGATTGGAGCAAAGAGTTCATATTGTTTGGTGAATATATCTAAATGGGGAATCACATTGGCATTGAAGGTAACAATCGAATTTGAGATAGAGAAACAAACATTAGACCAGGTCTAGAAAAGGTGCACATCGGACTATCAGAAGAATACAAACTCAATTCAATATGTATTAGCAATCAGGGGCTACAAAAGAGTGCCCATTTAAAACATACAAGTGTTTGGGCTGCTTGTTAAAAAAATATATTTTTTGTCAAAAAAACTCCACCCTAGATTTTTTCGCTCAATTTTTGGTCGGTTGGGGTTGGGCAATACAATTTTGTTTTTTGCCTAAATTCATGTAAATTATTTTAAAAAATACAAGAATGAAGAATTACTTTTTCCCCAGAAAACAAAATCTGTCATTTCGCAATGGCCTCTAAAATGTGTTCGTGGATTTGAGAGTTCAGATGATGGCAAGTTCAAGTTCGATGCAGGGCGCAATTCACCTATGGGTCAAGGAAAATACCTGTTTAACACAAAACCTGGAGAAGATAACAAGATGTTTGATCTTTTAGATGAGTATACCACAGCAGCTGCACAAGCTGAGAAGGTAAGATTTATGTGATAAATACATGTGATATGACATCATTTGCCCATGTATGTGATGTGACATCATGATGCTCATGTACAGGGGCGGATTTAGCGGAGGCTGGGCTGGACTGGCCCAGATTTTGTTGAAGCAAAAATGGGGAAAAAAGAAAAGAAAGAAAAAGAAAAAAATTGATCGCCCAAAGTGCCTCAAGGTTATATTCAGGCATCTGGAACACCAAATTTTTGCGGGGAAATTCCCCCAGACCCCTAGGGTGTTGTTATCTCGATCAGCTCCACTTTTGTCCCCCCTTTCTTCCCTCCCCCCACTTTCGGCCCTCCCTTTCAGACATCTCCGCCCCTGATGTATGTGATATCACATCATGATGCCCATGTATGTGATATGACATAATAATGGCCATACAGTATATGTGATATGTCATCATGATGTCCATGTATGTGATGTCATCATGATGCCCATGTATTGTATGTGATATGACATCGTCATGCCAATGTACGCGATATGACATGATCATGCCCATGTCAGTGATATGACATCATCATGCCCTATATGTTGTATGACATGATCATGCCCATGTCAGAGATATGACATCATCATGCCCTGAATGTGTCATCATCATGCCCATTTATGTGATATGACATCATCATGCCCATTTATGTGATATGACATCATCATGCCCATTTATGTGATATGACATCATCATGCCCATTTATGTGATATGACATCATCATGCCCATTTATGTGATATGACATCATCATGCCCATTTATGTGATATGACATCATCATGCCCATTTATGTGATATGACATCATCATGCCCATTTATGTGATATGACATCATCATGCCCATTTATGTGATATGACATCATCATGCCCATTTATGTGATATGACATCATCATGCCCATTTATGTGATATGACATCATCATGCCCATTTATGTGATATGACATCATCATGCCCATTTATGTGATATGACATCATCATGCCCATTTATGTGATATGACATCATCATGCCCATTTATGTGATATGACATCATCATGCCCATTTATGTGATATGACATCATCATGCCCATTTATGTGATATGACATCATCATGCCCATTTATGTGATATGACATCATCATGCCCATTTATGTGATATGACATCATCATGCCCATTTATGTGATATGACATCATCATGCCCATTTATGTGATATGACATCATCATGCCCATTTATGTGATATGACATCATCATGCCCATTTATGTGATATGACATCATCATGCCCATTTATGTGATATGACATCATCATGCCCATTTATGTGATATGACATCATCATGCCCATTTATGTGATATGACATCATCATGCCCATTTATGCTGAATGTGTCATCATCATGCCCATTTATGTGATATGACATCATCATGCCCATTTATGTGATATGACATCATCATGCCCATTTATGTGATATGACATCATCATGCCCATTTATGTGATATGACATCATTATGGCCATGTATTTGATGTGACATCATCATGTCCATATATAGGCAATTCAGACAATATTAATTATTATCTTGATATGTGGATAAAGCCTTTGGTTAAGAGCTGAAACACATATTATTACTATCATTTTTTTTCTTATATTTTTTTTTCAAATGTAGTCTCTAGTAGTTACTCTTTAGCAGTTTTTTTTGGTGAAAATATGTAAAACAAATTATCAACTCCAGGCCCCAGCTCTTCCAACGAATAAAATCATGTGAGGGCACCCATGATGTTTAGCGCATGTAACATGTAGCAAAGAATAGCAGGTGGTTGTACCACCCAGATTGTGAAAGGTTCAATCACAGAAACATTTGCTTTCGCTTTCTGAACAATCATAATGACTTCCTGTACTTTTTTTAGTTTATCAGAAGTAAATTTGCTGGCTTTTTGTGCAAGGTTCATTGACCTGTAAACAAATATGTTATGAATTCTACCACGATATGAGATAAACAAACACTAACCTACTGTAAACATAAGATCAGTGTTGTACATAATAATACGGTTTCAAAGTTATATTAAGCAAAGTTTTGAGCTTTCGATGGTGGCATAATGGTAGTGGTGTGTAATTGCTTTTCTTCATTGAGAAACATGTATCTCAGTACATCTAATAAATATGTGTTCAGACCAAATGGTTTGCATTTGATTCACGTCCTGCCTGGTTATACCCATTTTTATCCCTGGTAAAGAGAGAGAGAGAGAGAAAGATAAACTAAAATCACCAGCCTTGTACTTAAGTTGATACTCATGACTTTTCAACTGACCATGAACTTACCACAGTGCCACTTCCACAATAGTAGGACCAGCTTAAATGTTTAATAAACTGTATATCTACAATTTATTTTTTATTTTATTTGGTAAAAACGGTACAGTAGGTTTATATCCCATTAATTTATTCCTCTGTTACATTAAAGGGGATTCAAAATTAATATTTTTTCTGGAAACTGTTTCATTTATTCATATTTTAAAATTAAATTTTAACTTTACAACACTTTTTCATTACCCTCCAGTTGTCACCATTTTTGTAGAGAGCATTTGACTCATTCATGAATCTGTTATTAGGTGCAGCTGTATACTGTAATATATTTAAGGTGCTTCTATATTTGAACCAGAACATCTCTTTACATTTGGTCAATCCAGGATACATAAAAAAATAAAAACAAGGATATATTTGAAAACTCCTTTAACAGTACCACCATATAATAATGGAAATGGTTAAAGATCAAAACAATAGATAAGAAAAAATTGTAGTGCAAATATAGGTTACAGAGTTTACCTGGTAGTTTCTGAGGACATGCTCCCTTCATGACATTTCCTTTCATACAGTACTGTACTTGCCCATGAGCATATTTCGCAAGGTAATCACTAGCAAAAACAAATTAATTTAAGTTTAATTACTTTCATTAAAATCTCAATTTTACCATTTACCATTACAATTGAGAAAACATCTTCATTTTAAGGCAGAGGTATGTGGAAAATTATGTTCACTATGAGACTTACTTTACTTTTGTATCTACTGTGTAGTTGGTTAGTCCAATACGAAAGTAGGCTTCTGTGGTCCATGATTACCGTAGAACAGTATGGATTGAGTAGATCTCTACTTTCTGAGCCGCCAATATCAAATTACGTATGTCATCTCTTTTTATCTTACTTTTTGCCATGTTCTCTACTATTTTTTTTCTTGATGATTTTTGGTTCTCTACTATTTTTTTCTTGATGATTTTTGGATCCTAAATGTTTCATTTGCCATAGCAAGTAGCTTTATTACATTGTTGCAGTGCTTACTACATCTGTTTATATCAATAATGCTGAAATTGTATTCACTTTCATACATAGATATTTTATAAAGAGGATGCTTATTGAATGGCAAGGTCATAAGGTTAATATTCCTACAGACTTCCTTCCCTTTCTTGACCATGTGATGTCAACATGACACTGTTATTGAGATTATGCACTTAGTGTACAGCCTCAACCACCTAACAGAAACAGAGATTCCAAGTTAGACAAATTTGCAGGCATGAGACTTTTTAAGTTCTGCCATTAGGGAGGGATATTGGACTCGTTCCCTACTCCCCCTACCCCTGCGTATTAAGGATCTGCATTTTTTTGACTTGAGCCACACCAGAAGCAGTCATATCCCTGTTCACATGAACCGTTTCACGCTGGCATGAGCTGGCAGTGTGTACGCGTCCTTGATCATATCCAACATCGCTTTATAAAAACAACATATATTCACAGTGTTGTGCAGCTAGTTGCTATACATGATATTAGCATGATATTTTAAGTATTGGAGATGGAGAATTTTCTGTAAGAAGAGGGCTACAAAGGTCACAAATAGTTTACATAATTGTATAATACTGTATAAGGCATGCGTGAGATTTTGGGCCTTAAGCTTGAAAGTATGAGCCCGACCCCAAATTTGTAAGTGTCATGCCGAATGCATGAGACTTGGTAGGTCGGTAGACAATGAGTCTACTACTGGGAGGGAGGTGGGCTAAGTGTATTGTTGTGTCTGTTTTAGCTTCAATTATATTATTTAAAGTTCATTATACATACTTTATTAAGTATTTTAATATATATTGCAGTGCTTAAACAATAATATTTAAATTCATCTTTGGCATTTCCACTTCTGTAGATTGCTAGTCCACAAAATGGCCCACCTCAGCCTCCTTCTGATGAAGAAGTTGCGACACAGTATCAGTCACTACGGCTTGCTACCTTTGGTCTTCTACCTCAGAGAAAAATCTCAGGTAAATGAACATCTCAGCACCTTGTACTAAAGAATCTCTTGAAAATGTTATAATTTATTTTAAAGCAGTACTATATTTTAGTACTATGTATGTACATTTCCTGGATCATTATACTTACTTTACATAATCCTCATTCCAGTGGGACATATTAGGCCACTACAGTATGAGTTCTTTCTATTAAAATGTGCATTATTATTATCCTGAAATAATTATAGTTGTATTTTATATAGTGCCCTCTGTTTAGTTTGTTTTTGTGAGATGTCTTTTTTGAAAACATCCTCTTGGGCATGTGCCATCTTCCTTTTGATTTTGTTTTTTATTCTTTTTATCTCAGTTAATAATAAATGCTTTTGTTTACTGTAACTTGTCTAGCAATTGGAAGAAAATAAATGTCTGATTGAATTAAATTGAATAGTTTGATAGTTTAAAGCAATTAGTGGCGGACTGTCAAGGCAAGCAAGTTATGCAGTGCATACCGTGGCTAAAACAAATAAGAAAATATAGTAGTACAGTTTCTGCATTCGATTTAGCATTTCTTAGCCACAATCTTCTATATACAGTGAACCTTAATTTTTCGAGTGAATTGCTGTAGTTTATTGGAAAAGCAAAGTTTTTCAATGTTTGGGCTACTTTGGTATCCAGGATAAGTCACATTCGGGCCTATCGCATCATACTCTCAGCTGCTTCAAATTTCCGCGTGGCTGGTTTTCAATATCAACCAATCACATATTCAGTAAATCAATGGAAGTCAGAGCATACCCTACAACACTTAAATTTGCTATTGTGACGACCGTGTGGTGGCGTCAGAATAGCCAATTTAACACCGGAATGGAAGCAGTGCTTCCAAGAGTATGTGCGCATACTCTTCTTTTCGGAACTTAGGACCTTCACTATCTACATGCCTAATCTCAATGATTAAAGTTTAAATAAATTTGCATGCATACAACCGGTATGGAGGAAACTTTGAATTATTATTATTTGAATTGAGATATGTTAAAATAGAGGAATAGGAATTATTTTGAAAAGAAGATACTACAACCATGCCAGTATTAAAAATAACATACATTTGTATTTTGGCTATTATAGCGCAATCTGATCCTGCATAGTAGTAGGCTTACAAACTTTTCCTATACCAGCAGGCCCTAGCATCAGTGGCGTAGGGGTCTTGAAAAGGAAGGGAGCTGATGTGGTGAGAAGGTAAAGTGGGGATCTGTGATTAGGTGAGAGGGGGATAACTCGCAAAATAATGTGATTTGAGGTGATTTTTAACTACTTGAGCATGATTTTGTGTATATATATATAGTGTTACTATTCCAAACACTATCACTAAAGTGACATTGCCAACATAGTTGTATTTTTAACTATAATTAACAACTAATTTTTTACAAAAATTTACAGGTCCTGCTGTGGCAACATCATGTATTTCAATACCAGGATCTCAAAAAATGAATTATGATAGACTTCAACGAAAACAATGTAAGCTCAATATTACAATATATTACATGTTTACTTACTTGTTTTAGTAGACACGCTCAAAACAAAATGCTTGAGTTTCTCCTGCATTGACTTTGACAAAGATTATTTTCCCTTCTAATCCCAGCATTATGGGCTCAAATCCTGTACAGGAATTTTCACAACTAAAAACACTTTCATTTCCTAAGCTAAAACTATGTTCAGGCTACATTTGTGCAAATACAATTTGCAACAGCCTGTCTCTCCCAATGAATATTTTGCACAAATTGATGTATGGTCGCAGACCAGATTATAGATGTAATGTATGAGAGTACTGTATATTTGTTTTTGCATATTCAATGTAAGCAATCATCGTTCAGTCTGTTGTTTTAATATGCAGGATTGAAAAAAGGGAGAAACCCCACGACCTTGGGACACCCCTACTGTACCTTTAGCGCCACTGCTGCCAAATTGGTGTTCTACCTATACTTTGGACTCCTTTTGGTTTTTCCTAGTAATAGATGCCTTAAATAATAAGGCCATAAAAGTAAGTTGGTATTGTTCTCTTCTTGTGACACATGACTTTATTTCTATTTGCAGCTTACGGTCCAGAAAATGAAGTTCCTGTTATATCCCGTAATAGCTCAGCACATCGAATGTCAGGTCACCGTAATCTAAGTGAGCCAATTGAAGGAACACCTCCCCCTCTTCCTCCGCCCCGTGATGGCTCACTTCCCCACGATGAAATTCAAATACCTTCTAAAGTTGTCCGACCTAAAGACTTCAGGCGATTTAAGAGTGAACCAGGTCACATGTATGAACCAGAACCTCATGAACTATCCAGCCCACTAAAGGATTACCCAGATGCTATTATTAGGGGACGCCCTTCAAGTAACCATATAGAGATGAACCACTATCAAACCCCACCCCCTGTCCACTACATGTCTCCTCGGAACTCAATTTTCTCACAACGAAGCTCCATTACATCCGATCACAGTTCAGTATTTTCTGATCGGCGGGAAAGCTTTCCGATGCAAGGTGCAGTTGGTGGTCATCTGGCCTATACAACTATGGGTATGCCACGCAGTGTTAGTGCTTCATCAATGAAAGCGTACTATGAAGCTATGGCAATTGCGAAAAATGCTGCAATATTGCAACAGGTCAGCACTCCAAGCCCATATGAAAACGCCCTCACTGGAAGCTATGAGAATGCACCACTTATTAGCCCAGGTTTCTATTTTTCACCTGCCCATCCACATAGTAATCAAGGGTTCCTGCTTTCCCCTGTCTCACCACAATTCATGGGTGTGATACCAGTTGCTGTACCAAAAGAAGAACATGAGGATGATTTGAAAGGAGCTGTAGGTGGCGTCCCTGTTAGCGAGTCTCCAATACCTAAGTCTCTGTCCGAGACTCAATTCACAGCATTTTCGAAAGAGCGTTTAAAACGACAAGTTAGTGTTCCCTATGCAAGTGTAAACCGGGATAAGAAGACTGATGCAGAATTAGGTTACTTGGATATGAAAGTAGGAATGCAGTCGATGGCCATTAAAAGATCACCATCCCTAGATGCACTACTGGACACCATATCAACTTCTAGTTCATGGCAAGATGAATCTGCCCTGATAGGCTCACTAGATCTTGCCAACTCCTGCTCCCCTGTAGCATCAATAGGTACACCATCTTGGGTTGGATCCAGAAAACTCCCTCTTCCACCAGAACTGCTAGATGGCCATCCAAATGCTTATACAGAAATGGACAGATCCACTGTTAAGAAGATCGTTAGTAGCAACGGTAAAGCCACAGGTAAAAACAAAGCAGTTAGTTCCCGTCTCTCGAGTTTAGCATATGAAGATATAGAGGACTTTAAAAAGTTGAGACCGCAAAAAACTTTCACCGTCTATTCAAGCAATCCCACGACCTATGAAGATATTGAAAACTTACAACTGAAAACTGATGAAAGTGGATATCTCTATTCAGATTTTCAGAGAGACAGCAATTTAAAAAAAATGAAAAGAACTCAGTCAAACCCAGATCTTTTGAAAGCAGCACCACAGGATGATTATTGTGAGGTGTTAAATACAGCTGCACCTGCAAAAGGCATTGCTGTGACACAAGACAAGAAAAATCTTAAGAAATCACGATCTATTCCAAACTTGTTTGGAAATTTTACTCAAAAAACCAGCTTTGCAATTGGGGTAAAGCCGGCAAGTCATTTTTCAACCCCTGGGAACTCCATTGCCACAAACTTTCAAAAGAAAAAATCTGACAAAAAACCTGAAAAGAAACCAAAACCAAAAAAATTAACGCCTATAGAGAAAAACATTGTTAGTGCTAGGTCATCTGTTGAGATTGCAGCTGGTATCTCTACCTCGAGTAAAACCAAATCTTTCAGTAAACATGGTGGCTTGAGAAATATGCAAAGAAGTGTATCGCTGACATCAACTGGAGAGGACCAAGGTGTGAACCAGGCCAATACTAACTCAACTGCAATTCTCAGTAATCGCCCACTGCCAGGGACTCCAAACAGCAACCCACAAGAATCTGGTAGCGCAATACAAACGAGACCACTCCCACATTTACCAGGTAACACCTTACAACCAGATGACCAAGATTGGGTGTGAATTTTGTTTTAACCCTTGTTTTGTAGTTTTTGTTTTTCAAAATGTATTTCTATCTGCGCTTTCATTGACATGTGGATGGTTGGATTGACTCGTTTCTATATCTTCTTGTACCAAACTTAATCACATTAAATTCTGATGGTTGCATCCACTACTACTGATTACAGTGTAACTAGATAAGTTTAGTTTTAAACACATTCATGGTGCTCTTGCAGTAATGATTGTCTTACTGTTGTTATTGTATTCACATTAATTAGTAAATTTTGTCGTTGTTGTTGATTTTTACACATTTACACTTTTCATAAACAATAATTATATTTTTTTGTAAGTAATGTTATGGCTCACCATGGGCTTTTATGTCAGTCATTTTTTGTTTGCATTTTCAATGTACAGTACAACCATTTCAGATATCTCATATTTCTTATCTACTGTATTTACTGTACAGTACATGGTGATAGTTTGTCATCAAAAAAAGTTTATAATTTTTAAATAGAATGTATTACTATGGACGGTAGATAGCCTCTGTGGTATTACTATTGTAATTCCAACACAAAAAGCGTTTCGCTGTAGCAACCGATAGTCAAATTTCCATCAGTATACACAGGCAATTATAACCACTTGTCCGTGTTGGTGTTCAACACCAAACAATTACAATTTCTAATTAAACCATCAGCAAACCTAATTATTGAGCTTATCTGTATAAAGGGCTTATAAACTGTACTGTTTTTAAGTCCTTACCGTATGCACTTCATATTGCCAAGGGATATCATAATACTTTACACTATATACACTTGAATAATTGATATATAAGTCAGATGCGTGCCGTGTTCACAAGGTTATCATCATAACTGAGCTATGACATCAAATATATCGCTCAAAGAGTGAAAATTTAGAAGGAAGAAGTGTTTGAACGATCTGAAAGCTCTAGATATAAATGACAATGTGTTTTATCGTAACTAATTGAACCACACAGAGCTCAGAATGTTTACATTTCAGCAGGAATAGGCCTATGTATATAAGGATGAAAGAGGACTTTCATAAATTATGACCTGAACACATCTAATAGGCCTACCAAATATACATTTTTTATTACCGTATTTCATACTCTTGCTGATATAGCCAGTGTGTTGTATTGCTAGCTTATACTGCCATAATAGGATGTTGCAATTCAAAAGGCTATTGATGTTGAGTGATAGATTTCCATGGTTGAACAAAGCATTTAAACCGTCTACCGTGGTTAAAATTGACACACATTCCTATATGTGTGCTATTGGTTGATTTCAGTAATATTGACTTAAGTGATGAGTTTAAAAACGACTAACACGATTGAGAAATTGTATAGATACTTTTATGATCGACCCATTTCGAAGTTTGTAGGTCTATTTTGAGCATTACTATAATGTCTAAATGTGTACCAATAGTTTGGTGTTGTGTATTACTGCCTGCATTCAATATTCGAGGTCATTGAATTTGTTGTACACTATTTAAGTATGACACATGAGTACAATTCTGCCAGGTGTAGTTTATTCACAATCACATTTTACAAGAATATTTTGCATTATACAGTAACCTATTTTAATTGTATTTAATGAAAAAAAACTTTGTATTTGCCTGCACGTAAGTTTGCACTATGAATATCATGTTACTACGGTAAAATATTTAAATGTATACCATATTGATTCTTCATGAATGACAATGGATATATGAATATTATACATAGACGACTACTGTAAGTAGAATTTTATGAGCATTTAATTGTTCTGGTAATGTTTAATAAGATGAATGACACATATTTTTAAAATTGTAAATAACTATTAATGAATATTTAAGAGTGTGAATATAAGAGATTATGATACCTAAATAGTGTTGTCATGTTATTTACTCAACTTGCAATCTTATACTGTACTGTACTTTAAAACGAAAAAGTGACGCGTTACGAAACGCGACACTTTTGACTTGCACCGTTTCCATATGGAAAACATACCATTGAGGTCACCTGTATTTAAATAACATAATTTTTAATTAAACTATATTTTTATATGTTTTAACTATATACACGAGTTTTCTGTCCGAAACTCAGCGTACTGTTTATGTTACATCCAACTATGTCAACCTTGTTCGTTTTTGTTTTTAATAAAACCTTCGAATTTAATTATGTGTAGCCTTTCTCTAATTATGTATTAAATAATATATTTTCCTAATTAAAATTAATTACTGTTTGATTGTTGGTAGATTGACTTTTTCAGTCGAGGGAATTAACTACAAGTGACCGAATAATGAATCATCCACAACAGGATGAAACAGTGTCAGTACTCAATCATGATAGTGATAGATGTAAATGGGCTTCATGTACAATAAAGATGCTGTCTCAAAATTCTTAATAAAATCCCCGAGATAATTTTCTGTGTCGAAATAATAGGCATGAAGAATAGTATTTCATATTGGAATTGCTTATTTTGTATATTAAGGTTTAGTTTTTAATTGAAAATTAGAATGAGAAAAATATTTCGTTGCCATCAACATGCGCACAATGAAATAAAAGTGTTTGTGAATAACATTGGACCAAATGATGCATATTGCTTACCAATGGTACTGCATTTTCTAGGTTTAGACAAAAAAAAATATTTTGAAAATTAATTGATTTTATCGCAAAATTACATCCTAACTATTTTCGAGTCTTCTGTTCAATGAGGATCAGCTCGTAGATGCCTAACACTTTAAAAGTTCATCATTCGCTCTAAAATATACCGTATCGCATACTCAGCATGTTCTGTTTGTGTTATAGATGAGAAGTAATTAACCTCAGTTTCAAAATTAGCAAAAGATTTTCCTTGATCCTTAGCACATGTTGTGTATGCTTTGTTTATGGTAATCATTTTTTAAGCGAGAAGCATTTTTTTGGCTGGGCCCTTATGGGCCTCGTAGGGCCACAGTAGTAGGCCTACAAACATAACGGAATGGATACATTTCCCCTTTCCTCATCTTACAAGAGAGATGTCAGTACATCAAAAACAAAGTCCGATTTTTGTATATAGTGGGCAGTGGGCAAAATAGCCAGGAGTAACTAGTACTAGTATAAATACTTCGTAAGTTTTGTCACGCATTCGAGTCGCCTCGAACAATGTGGGACCACCATAGTAATACAATAATTCTGTATTCCCGTGAAAGTGTCCAGTTGAAATCAGCTTTTACCCCTGAAAACAGCTAAATTGAGTATAATTAAAACGAAGTAGCAAAACAAAATTACATAATTTTGTATAAATAGCAGAAATTGAAATATTGAATTTTAATGTAGATCTTGAGTAGCTCAACAAATTGCATGTTATTTAATTATTCATCCGCTTAAGTATGTGTACGTGCTCATTATTCTTCTGTTGGCGTAGATATATTCACAAACGTATCTCTTTTTACACCTCCAATATGTTATAATATACACCAATTCATTATAACCAATGAAATTGATGCTTTCCACATAAAACATTACATATAATTAAATAAGGTTTTTGGCACCAATTATTGAAGCGTCTTCGTCTTGGGCCTAGATAATGCTAGTTCTACCACCACCCAACACAAGATCAAGTAACTTGGATCATTTTCATTATGCCACTGATGGACTTGGCAGAGTACAATGATTGTGCTAGAAACTGTCCAGTTCTGGCTAAAGCAACATACTATCCACCAAGTGTGTAGACACGATAAGAAGTCCCTAAAAAATTCAGTAATGGGATTTTTTATGAAACCATTGGTACAAGTCTACTCGCTTTGATGATGTTTAGTCACATATTAGACTTGATGAAACTATATAATTTTTAAGGATTTTCAAAATCTTAAGTTGGGGCTGAAAGAAGAAGTAATTTGTTAAGTCAATTGCACGCTGATTAAAAAAATGAACAGATTTATGTTAAAAGTTATTGGGATCTTATTAATCTTAAAGTATAAAGACAAAGTGTTATTGTTTAATTTGTTTTAATATTTATTAACATCTTAATTGCAACCTTACGGTGTCAGTTATTACAATAATGAAACAGTTGTATTTCTACTTGATGCAATTTAATGAATAAATTTGAAATATGTATACATGTGTCTAACTGACAGGCATGTTCTATCTTTCTATCTTGCCTCCATAAGAGCTGCAGCTCAAGTCGATCAATTAATAATTTAAAAAAAAAAAGGATACGTATGCTTACATGTTATCGTCGAAAAGCTCAACTTTGATTTTTCTTACAATTGTAGGCCTAGATTATATACTGTAGCTTTTTGCGTGATGCAATCTAATAAATATCATTACCAGGGGCGGATCCGACACATTTGTGAGAGGGACACAATAGGTAGTTCACATCAACCTCAGCCCTACAGTGTGCAATTTTAAGAGTAAGCCTTCTAGACACTCGGAAATGGCACTCTCAGAGGGTGAAAATGCTTTTTCAAAGCAGTGTTCCTCGACGAAATTATTGATATCAGAGACATATTATTCTGTTATGTATCAACAAAGCCCTTTTGGATCCGGGTGCTATACAGCGAGGACCCGATGGGTATGGGCACCGAAGGGGCCCCTAAAAGTCGGTGGCCCTGCGGACCAAAGCACAAGAGCGCATATGCGTTTCGCCACTGAGCATAGATAGCTGTTCTAGCTGAGTACAGTGTTCCGTAATAATGGCTAAAAAAACTCTGTCTTACAGGTCTCCGTCTTTTTGGCTTTTTTACATCCTGGATTATGAAATCGTTGGAAAAGGGGACGTCGGGGATAAGGCGATGTGATGTGCACTGAACTTATGGGTACACTTCCTTTTTTCACTCTTTCCTTCCTTACTCTTCTCAATTTTTTTTCTCCCTCTTTTTTTTCGGCGGGATTGACAGAAGGGGGGGGGGGGGGGGGGGTGGAACACGGGTCCCCGCTGGATCCACCCCTGGTTACATGTAGAAATATATCAGTCTTCTAATGCTTTGATGACGAATTCACCAAACACTAAGTGTTATAACAATTTTGAATGTTGTGAAGCGTTGTGGCTAAGTTACAGTGGCGGATCCAGGGGAGGGGGCGGGGTTTCAAGAGGTTCTGACGAACCCACCTCTGTAATGAAACGTAACAAAATACAACTGGGTCCTAGATTAAAAGCATGCTAACCTACCTAGGCATAGGTTGGAAGATCAGACAAACTATGCTATCACAACTAGTTTTCAATTAATTAAATTATACACACTGTTTTTGGTTCGCCGTCGATGTACGAAAGTGAGTTCTTCAGGCCTGTCTGTTCATTGACCAGAAAGACTACATAACTACTCCATGTTGTTGGAATATAATAACATATTGCCTGTCTTTGATTTTTCCCTCTATGATAGGCCTTAAGAATAAGATAAAATTACCTGAATTTTTTCAAGAGGGGGAAAACCTTGAATTTTGAAGAACTTAAGGGTAATTAAAAGACTCCTCAGAAGTCGGGGAAGTTCATTTCCCGAGGAATCAAAATTTTTTTCGGGGGAGGCCCCCCCCCCCCCCCCC